TATATATATATATATAGAGAGAGAGAGAGAGAGAGAGAGAGAGAGAGAGAGACGGAGAGGGAGAGGGAGCGAGGTAACCCCATGAATCTTATGCCTTCCAAGAGCCAGCACGCCAAATAATCAAATCCCAGAAGCAATTTCACTTTATATATAAAGGGATCCTAATGTCTTCTTCAGGTCCAATGAGAATCTCTCTTCTTCTTTCTTAAGTCTCTCACTTTCTTGAAATTCAATTTTTCTCACTCTTTTTTTGTTAAAGATTACAGTCCATAGATTGATAATGACGATTATATCAAATACGCTTTCATTGAAGCATGGGCTCTCAATGTAGTGTCCACAGTCAATTCCCTCGAATCGAATTCATCAGGGTTCATGTTCATTTCCTTCCAGAAGCTTCCGTAAATGCTTCACTATCTCTGCTTCCTCTTTCGCCAACGAAAATCGGGAGTAAGTTATCAGCTCATGAACCATCATACTTAATGTGTGTGTGTGACAGTGTAATTGTATGTATTTGTGATAAGGAGCAGCACCTGAATACATGGGTGGGCGTATTTCCTCAGTGATTCTTGAAGCAAGACCCGAATGAATAATCTTTGGGGTGGGTGGGTGGCTGGGTGATAAACGGCTTGATTTTGTCTCTCATGCTAGATACACCTACTAGTTTCAACTTTTAGATGAATTCTTTTTGTTGCCCGGCAATAATTTTTGTGCGTGTGCCTTTTTTTTTTTTCTTTCCGAATGAATTTAAAGATGGTGATTGCAGGTTTGGCATAGTAGCAGGTGGAAATGCAGCAGGATATGCGGCTAGAACTTTTGTCGAGCACGGATTGGCTAATGGAAAGCTTTGCATTGTCTCCAAAGAGGTAATTTCAGATTTTTTAGTTTGGTTGAATTAATATTTGTACTCTTATTTGATTGATAATCATAGTAAAATTTCTTGAAAAAAAAAAAAAAACAATTTGGAGAGGGAATGAAAAGTGCCCACATTGTTGAGTTTCTTTACAATGGCAAAAATGTTAAGGATATTTTCATAGTATCTTCTTACCTTTCAGAAAAAAAAAATGAAAAAGAAAAAATTCATAATATTCTTCTTACATCCTTCTCTTCACTGATTCTCTTCTGTTTCTGTTACATTTTATTGAATGAGAAATCTCCATAAAAGGAGAGGATGAATTACTCCATTAAAGGAGGAAAATTACACTCCAAAATAGGAGGAAATGCACTCCAAAGAAGGAGGGAAAATAAACCTCCATGAAAGGGAGGGATTGGAAGAAGAAATTCCAATCAGCTACAATGCGTACAAGGCTTGTATTTATAGACAAGAAGACTAGCTATCTAACTACTAACATAACTACCAACTAATTAACAACTGTAGGAAGAATCTGTGGAAGCTGGAGACAGCTAGGAGAATCCGTGTGAGATAAATCTGGTCCGTTCAATCTGGAGTGGAATCTGGTTGAGGTTAATTTGGTGCAATTCTAATAGTTTCCGCATTCTTTCAGTTTCTCCCATTGTAAAACTACCGCGTTCTTTCAGTTGCTCCCATTGTAAAATCCTGCCAGATAGAAAATGAGAGGTGGAGAGGGGGAAGTGGGTTTGTAATATAGGGATGACTCAGAGAATTGAGTTTTGAAACGACAGATGTGAACGATAATGATACAACAAGTTCACATAATCTTCAGTGTACTCTCCAAACTTGTTGAGCTTGTCGATAAACTGAATTAAATGAATAATCTCCATTGTACTCACTGAGCTTGTAAACGGAAGATCCGCTAAATTTAAGTTTCAATGATTTGATAGTAGAAGAAATTTTACCAATAATATTAGTAGGGTGTTTGGTGGGGATAAAATTAGATTTTTTAGTAGATTGATATAGAAGTTTTTGAAATGTGTGATTGAAAGTTACGGGACCCATGAAAGATATGATTAATATTAATTGTTTAAATTAAAATTAAATTTTAGTCCAAATCAAACGGGCTGACGAACATATGTATGATTCTATTTGCAAATTAGTAGGTTGTAGCTTCAATAAGGTGATGCAACCATTAAAGTAATGTTATTAATTGTTGTTTCTGTTTTGTTTATGACTTCCATTTTCTCATGAGCCTTTCCTTTATTAGAACAACTACAATGTGAGTTTTTTTTTTTTTAAATATTATTTTGTGAACAAGTTATTTAGTCATTTTCCTGTACATTATAGGTTCATTTCATCCCATCAAGACTCCAAACCACCCATCATCCATTTTTTTGTGTGTGTGTCTACATTGAATATGTTTTAATGTTCGACTTAATCATCATGTTTGTGTCTGTAGTGGACACGTTTAATTGTTTGACTTAGTCATCATGTTTGTGACTATATTGGACATGTTTTAATGTTTAATTCACCTAGCCTTTATTTCACATGTTTAGACTAATGAAATTATTTTAAGGTTAAAATAGTTAAGTAGTTCACTCAACAACCTAATGTAGTGCATTGCATTGAGTCCTTTATTCTGTAAAGAAATGAGTTGTTACAAATCGCAGGAAGTTTTAATGAAAGTCATTTAATGAATAGACAAAGTCAACTTATGTGTTTCTGAGTTTGACTATGTTTTAAAAATAACTTTTGAAAGTCCTATTATGTATTATGGGAGTGATTAATTTGATATTTTCACGCAAAGAGTCGTTAAAAAAGAATATTTTGGCATATCAACCATGAAAATTTCAACTCATTCATGCAAAATAGTTTTTTTTTATACATTTTATATATTTCATTTATTTAGAGAGTAATAGAGGTAGACAAAACTCAAACGTAAAGCATGTATGGTCGTATCTACTTTGTTATATATATAGATACACACACACACATAAGAGAAGTGAACGAAAGTAGAAAAAAGTGAGAAGATTCAGTCAATATTTAGCAATATGTACATAATATAAAATCTTTTTCTCCAAAACTTATTTGCGTCATTAGATTTCGAAGTCGTACTAGCTAGAAACATATAATTAAGTAAGGAGACATTAATTATGTAATCTTGGATGTTGATAGCGGTTGAACAATAGAAAATGTTTGGTGTACAGAAAAATTTCCAAAGGAAATTTTACAGATACCTCACGAAGTGTGGACCCCACATAAAATAAATAATGTCAAAAAATTCACCCACCCACTCTGTCCATGTAAAGTGTTGGTAGGGGTTTTGCTACTTGTACACCAATCACTGTCCTTGAACAATTGATCTAGTAATCCACCTCTTCATCCGGGTTAAAGTAAGGGTCAAATTAGAAATTTATGGGTTACCTATAAATATTTGAACAGGTTTAAAGGTCTTCATTTGATTAAAACGTTTCATCTT